TAGTCGCTACTGCTTGTTTGACAGGTGCCGCCAGAACCCCTGTTGTGTCATGCTATAGATGCACATGCCCTGTTCTGGGGCATACTGAGGTACTTTGATTTTGTTGACTGCATGTAGACAGCATCCAATAGTAGTACTCGTAGACCTTGGCTCTTTGTAGGTCAACCACCATCGCATGGATCGATCGGTGACTATGCACTTGGAGGTTGGAATAGCCCGCGCTGAACAGATCTTGCCATGGCCCAGGGAGTGAACTCGCTTACTCGACTATCCCGGTTTTAGTTAACCAGCATGAGTGGTGCAATTTGTCCATACCATATTGCGAGCTCACAGTTGTTTGGGCAGGTTTTGAGCTGCACCACGAAACAAAGCGAAATAACGGCGTGACTGTAGAGCAAGGAAGCGGCGAGACGGCACTTCCAGGACGAGACAGACAGTAGAGATGTGTTCACAGCACGAGCAACCTCTCAGACCCTGCCGGTACTCCACAGTTACAAGAAAATGTCGGACTGGACGACGCGCCAATGCAAACCTGCTACATCCACCCAGGCAGATAGCTGCCAAACCAGGCCAATGTCGACCCACTGCATACCGGTATGTCAATGTCAAACAGATCCTGCAGGAGAAGACTGGGATGATATTGGCGTCCAGTGTACGGACACCAGTCACATTTCCTGCGTCTTTTGCAGCATACAGGATAGACTCATCACTGTAAAGTCCACTACTTCGTGATTTTTATTTGTAGAATACATGACAGGCGTATTCAGTGTGCCTCGCAGGACTGCGAGATGCTGCAGAAGACCAGTTTCGACCTTTCTGGACCGCCATTCACCGACGGTGGGCTACACGATGCTGGAGGAACTAGATTCCAGTGAAAACCCAAGATTCCTTTGCTCCTGGACGCTCCGACGTGTTGTGATATCTGCCAGGTGCGCAGTAACTAGTATTTTCATCGCTATAGCGAGGACGACGCCGATCGGCAAACTCTCGCTCACAGCCATCACCAGCCTCTCAAAACCATCACTTGGCATCCCCCAGAGGTATAGGAGAAAGCCAAAACAGCTCTCAACAAACAAAAGCTAAGGACGATGGAAAGAGAGCATGTCAAAAAGAAGACGAGCAGTATGAAGTTCAAATGGGTTTGAACACTCGTTCCACCAACTATACCACTTTCAATAAATCGTGACGCCATTTTGTTTTAACACGCATACGGTCCGTTGTAGTCTTCGGGGTGCTGAGTCGAATGGTCTTGGTCCGAGGAAGCTGAGACGCTTCGAACATGGTTGAAGGAGCGGTCACGTGGTCCTGGGTGCCCAAATCACCTGGTCACCACGCCAGCAGGTGACAACTTTCACACCAAGGTTCAACTCGAGTTCAACTCGAGTGACAGGACTGCACCCAAAAAAGGTCAAACAGGCTAGTAAGTTGTACCCTGCAGGCACGGTGACCAGGTGACTGGTGTACGCAGGATCACGTGACCGCTTCTTCAACCATGTTCGATTGGGAATAAAGGAGGAACGCCGCATCGCAGCCTTTTCGGACCAAAACCAGTCGACTCAGCGTCCAAAAGACTACAACATATGGGCCAATCGCGGTCATCCGTGCTTTTATAAGAACGAAATGGCGCTTTTAGTGACATTTTGCATACAAATCCCCATCTAGTAGGGCGCAGTCACCCAGTTTCGGTGGAAGTGCGCGAGTTCGATTGGGATTCAAGTAGGAAGGGAGCGTCTCAGCTTCCTCGGACCAAGACCATTCTTAACTTCCCCTTTAATCTGTTAATAAAACATGTTTGTAGTTACAATGCAATCGTTCAGAACTGACTTCCAAGAATGTCCTAAATATCTCTCGACATATTTGTTCACGACTTCCTAGGCCAATAGGCGTAGACTGTAGTGAGTAACCTTCTGGAGCAAATGACGACTGCCCCGAGCATGAACTTCTTTTCATCCTGTTCAAGGTCAAATATTACTCAGTTTGCGTTGAAGAATAACAATTACATTCGTGAATGGCCGAACTGAGAAAACCCTCATGATTTCTCTTGGATTTCGTATCCCAAGTTCCTCTACTTGGCTGGATAAATGGCCTCTTTACTTCATCATACTGGACTGGAACTTGTAGATAATAGCGAGCAATGAATTGGTGAGTGAAGTATATTTCAAAAGTAATAACCACTCGATTACTGAATAGTAGTGAATACGTAGAATACTCCAGTATTATAATGATATGAACACTGAAGCTAATGTGACATTACAGTAGTACAATAGGAAGTACGTCACCACACTGTTGTAAATGCACGCGCTGATCCTATCCAACCTGACGGCCAATGCAAGAGGTTGGAATTGGCTATTGATTTCCTAACACACTCATACAGCACCAAAAGCTATCTGTCATTGCTCATTTTCAACTCAACATAACACAGTTGCAAATCACCAGGTGCACATCTTGGCACATAATGTGTGCTGTCGCAGTCCACCGCAGAACATAGTAATCCACAGATAACTACCGATATAACATGATGTCACATACATACATGCATGCATGCCGCGGCGCACCCACACGCGTGCGCACACACACACACACACACACACACACACACACACTTGAAGCAGCTGAATAATCCGACTATGCAGTCTCCCAGGCACGCGCACACACACGAACCAGCTGCCGAATCCAACTATACAGTCTCCCAGGCATGCACGCTCGCACACACACACATGAACCAGCTGCCGAATCCACACAAACACGCGCGCGCGTGCGCACACACACACACACACACACATGAACCAGCTGCCGAATCCGACTATGCAGTCTCCCAGGCACGTGCGCACAAACACGCTTATGCGCACGCGTGTGTGCCCGCACACACACATGAACCAGCTGCCGAATGCGACTATGCAGTCTCCCAGGCACGCGCGTGCGTGCGCACACACACACATGAACCAGCTGCCGAATCCGACTATGTCAGTCTGCCATGACTGCGAAACCAGCGAAGACATACAGTGCATTGGCTGCTGCCAGACTGGTCTGCTACAGGTTTGCGACGCTCTTGAGTACACTTGTGGCATGGCAGGCCGCTCTTCGAAAAGGAAATGTTACAAATACTACAATGAATCCGATCACGGGAGGCCGGCTGTGGTGGTGAAGCAATTCTGAATGCTGTGCGCCACTCTCCTCGCTGCTGTGCAGTGTCGAACCAATATCCTTCAAGATGTAAGTGATGGATGTCCCTTCGGACAACATCACACCAATGCTGTCGGGTTTCACACACACACACACACACACACACACACACACACACACACACACACACACACACACACACACGGCGCACACCTTGTCGACAATTGCGGAATCTAAAACCCACCAACGACCTGAAACACGGATCGCACTGGCCGCAGTGGCTGTGGCAACACCGTGCCCCAACACCAGTAGTAGCCTGGGGTGGTGTCACCAACAAAGGAAAACGCCTAGCACGCACATGCACGTGCGCGCGCACACATGCACGCTCGCACACACATGCACACTCGCACACACATATGCACGCGCGCGCACACACACACATGCACGCGCATGCACACGCATGCGCACACACACACATGCACGCGCCCACACACACAAACACACGCACACATGCACGCGCGCGCACACACACATACACAGCTAATGGTATACAGTAGTATGTTGCCCGCAAAGCAGCCAGGTGCTCTGGCTTGGACCTCCAGCAGCGCTGGTTTCGCCCTCGCTACTTGTCGTCTTGCCCTCTCCAGTGCTGCCTGCAACAAAACATTCCCTTCCGGAAACTCTGGGTGGACCAGTTCTCCGTGTTGTGTTTACACCGTGCTCTGCTTTCACCGGTATGGCATTCGTTGTTCGTATCAACCACTAAGCTCCTGGTAGGTGGCCCCTTACTGGCCTTAGGATGTGGCTCTGGGTTCACTACTACATGCACATCACTGTCAGCAAGTATAGACAAAGCAAAATCAGAGGCACTGGTCTTCTCCAGGTTTGCAATTGCTATCACATGGGTGCAATTGGTGTAGCACTTTTCATGATACCAGCCACACCATTTACTCCTCCCTGAGCTCTTGTGCTGGCAGAGAAAAGCCCAGATATGGTCGTCCTTCTCTCGAGCAGCACTGACGATGCGACACCAACTTGTAGTCTCGATATTACTCACTGCAGGCTTCTCGTTTTTACTAAATTGGGCGCTGTGACACAGACACAAAATTCCAGCAATATTACTCCGCTGGGCTGTCATTTGCCACTTCGTCGCCGTCAGCTGCCTCATCCAGCACCTCGCTGCCACTAGAAACGTCTTCCTCTTCTTCCATTGTTGTCAAAACAACATCAATGTACACGAAAGGAATAAACTTCAATAAAGTGATCACAATATCCCAAGTCGATATTGTCGTCAACGTCGTCATCTTCTAAAAATAAATTATTTTTCCTCACTCTACGCGAACTCGTGTTTTGCGCTTGCTCATACGACGCACACCTCACCACTCGCGTAAAAATATTCGTTCTCACGGTGGAATTTGGTCGAGAAAAGAAGCCCTCGCGAAGGTCTCTGGATCGGTTCTGGAACGTCCAACAACTGACAAGCGAAAACGTATCCTTTGTGATGTCCTTGACCAACACTGTAAGCGGCGATTTGTCCATCCGAGAGTGCAACGGCACTTGTGATTTTGAGTTTTGGCTCACGGACTACTACTAGCGCTGGCCATAGTTGTGTAGCTACGTCACGTGTAGCTACGCCGCGTACTCGAGTACGCGGCGCGGCGTAGCTACACGTGACGTAGCTACACAACTACTTACGTAATTACGTAACACAAGTCCTTTTTTTAATTAATTATTTTCTTGGGATTTTGCGCATGCATGCTGATCATTTTTTTTCGGTTTCAGTTCGAATCGCATTTTTTTGCGAGCATTCGAATATTCATACTGCACTGCACTAGACTGTGACTGCAGACTGGTACATGGTAGTACGAGTGCCAAGTGGTACATTTTGAGCATTGCAAATGTTTCTTCAGAGTTCAGTCATGGCCTTTTCCGCTGCCAAGGTTTTCAACTTGTGGTCCGTGCAGCAATGAGCGACTCAGAGAGCGAGGCCAGCTCGCCAGGCTCTGCCGAGGCGGAAGAAAGCCACGAACAAAATGCCGCTGACAGTGAAAGCTCTGACGATGAAATAATCGGGCAACGACCCGAAAAACGGCGACATGTTGAAAGTGAGCTGCTGCAGCTAATTCCTAGAATTTCCATTGTCGTTCTCTCTTTTCGCTGTGGAGGGCACGAGAAAACTCACGCCCAATAGATTGAGCGGACGTGGTCGTACCATGGCGTTTGGCGAAAGTTCTATGCACGTCTATTTGTTGCAGGTCTCGACGAGGACTTAGATGACGATGATTATGATCTCATCCAGAGCAACACTGGCATCAATTGGAAAAAGGTGAGAGCGCTGTTTGCGAGAAGGACCAGAGTAGGGACGATTGCCTTGCGCCCACTGTGTTTCTTTGTGTGTCCCCCCCCCCCCCCCCCCCCGTGTTGGCGGCTTCCTCCGCTTCACATCAGAAGCTGTGTGCTAATTATTTCTTTTTGTGAAAATCACGAAAATGCAGGCACAAGAAAGCCTGTGTTGGGAGAAAAAAGGATTTCAAACGTATGACTCCAGCTCCACATCACTCTTTTATCTATTTCGCACTAGCATACTCGCACTCGAACACTGCACCCCACTTCTCTCCCAACGCCTTCCTCCCAGCGCTGAAACTCTCCACACATGGTCACCTAACACTCTTCTTATCGCTTTCCTACAGCACCCCAAGGTATATCCGGGGTGCGTTTGGTTGGTACGATCTAGAACAGGATCAAACAGCTGGTGCACGTGGAGCAGCCTCATGCCAACCAAACGGTACTCCAGAAACAGAGCATATTTTTGTGAAAAATATGCCAAACTTGGCGCATTCTTCAAAATGTGTATGGGTCACCATGGTCACTGTGTACGGTACGACGAGTCCAACCCAAAAGCGTATGCACGTGATCATTTGGGACCAAAATCGATGTTCCCGCCAGGTTTCACTGTGAAAAAGTGAAACTGCTCGGTCTGCTCCGGCCTCGAGGCCGGAGCAAGCAGAACATGTTCTGGCCGACCCAAAACAGGTGCAGTCCCAACCAAACGCGCTGTTCTGGTGAATCCTGTTCTAGTTCGTACCAACCAAACGCGCCCCTACTCAATTCCTTGGTTCTTTGCCTGTTGTTTGAATTTTGGTGAACCTAAAGTGACATTTGCAGCAAAGAGACCGTATTTATATTTGTGTGTTCGGATTGAAGAAAAAAAAGAATCTGTAAACGGCTGAAATTGAGTTTGTGAATCTGTGGCCGTTTCCCTGTGGCTAAAATCATCCGTTTTAAATTTTACTCTTAACCCGTTATTACCGGCCTGCAGACTTTCGATTATACATGATCGAAAGTCTGCAGGCGGGTAATGTCTTCGTAACTCCATCGTTTCTTGTGCAAATTCAACAATCGAAGGGTCTACGTGGTAGCGGAAACTCCAAGCTGTCCAATGCAACAATCGCCGAAGAGTTCCGATGTCGGACGCCAGAGATATCGCGCGCAGTATTCTTACCTCGGCAAATTCAAATTTGTGACTGATCACTTCGCCATTTTTGGGGGGGGAAATCCCTTTTCGTGTGCTCTTTGAACGACTGAGCACATGATATTAGGGAGGTTCTGGAGTACGATTTTTCGTGTCAAAATCCGTAGAGGCGCTACGGATTTTTTATACGTCGTTTTCGAGCAGTGAAATGTTCCGGAGTAGGGAACTTATGTGTTTGCCGTCATTGCCTAGGTTACGATCGCAAACACGTCACATTCCCACGCTATGCCTTTTATTTTGAAAATTTGTACCGAGATCAAAACTTCCCGCGAAAAATCGATGTTTCTCGTACCAAATTTGTACGCGAAAAATCTTTCTGCACCCGATGACGCAAAATCTCCATACGAAACATGGTTCGTATGAAAGCCAGTCCACACGGATTCTCCGTGCCTAAAAATCGTATGGAGCACGCCTGGAAAAAATCCATAGCGCCCATACAGATTTTGGCACGGAAAATCGTACCCTGGAACCTCTCTAATGACGCAGCCGGCTGCAGTTTGAATCGTCTCAAACAAATTTGAGCGTTCTGCGATGAAGGAGAGTGGAGTGGCGTTGATGGGACGAATTTGCTTGCATATTGGAGACGACTTTACTGTGTTACCACGCTTGATTTGCGGCGGCTGGATAATGGAGCTTGGTACCCTGGTGTTGCTCTCGCCAACAGCTTTCCAACGAGCCCTAGATTGTGAAAATCAAGCGAAGGAGACCAAAGTTATGACCGGGTGAAGTTGAAAATTGTACTGACGATTGTGATGCTGGTGCATGGTGTGCTTGTAATCCGGGAATAAAGGGTTAAAAGGGGAAATCCGGTGAAAAATTTAAATTTCAGCGTCGGTAGAGTTTCGGGCGCTGAGTCGAATGGTGTTGGTCCCACGTGTCTCCGACAAAGCGTTCTCGAGATATTTCCGTTTGAAAAACTGAGTTTCGGGGGGCTGCGCCATGACGTCGTGTGGCCACGCCACACCCTCCGCATCGTCATAGCGTGCAGCTAGGTCAAAAGGAGTGCGTGAAAGAAATAGTGTCAATGCTATTTCGAATGATTTGGCGACCGATAGTAGGTGGTGCAAGCCACCCCGAAGACGGAACTCCATTTGAGAGTGAGGATGCATCCATGGCTGACCTTCATGAGTTCGGTCTGGGGCTGAGAACCTCGGTATTCAGCTGAAGAAATGGCCGCGCGGGCCGGTCCAGAGTGAGCGCTGCTGCGTTTCCGACTGATGAAGAAGCGGCAGCTATTGCGGATGAGGCTGATATAATTATCAGATCTCTGGAGAGCAGAGTCGCCAAAATGGAGAAGAGTGATGCGAGTACTCTAAAATGTTGTTCCATACCGATTCGCTTGGACTCCAGTGGCCTGCCACATGGTGTTGTTTTGCGAACTTACTTGGCATATTTTGGAATACTCTGGAGACCAGTGCAGGCTCTTTGAACCACGGGCACGACTCTTCGATTCAAGGCTCGCAACACTACGAGATCTGAAAGTTTAGGTCCGGGAGCTGTTCGCTGTTTTGTCACTTGTCGCGTTGTGCACTCATCGTTGCAGCATAAACCGATGAGGCGGGACTATTCCATGCGGAAAACTAAAATTTTCTTTCTCAGAGTCAAAGCACAACCAACGGCATCGGCAAGGAGAAACGCACGTTCCCAGACTACATGACTTTACATACGACTGATACGAGTGTAGTACATGACAAGACCGTGTCTTGACTAGTTCTTTTGATTCTTGTGACTCGAGTCTTGTTGTAGCTACCCCAGCACGGCAGTGCGGAGAGTAGATCTACCCAGTAGTTCCGTGTGTGATGCGTTTGTTGACTACACTACAGCTAACTGAGTATACACGCAGCGCAGAGCCAGAGGCCAGTGCGGACGGAAAAAGTCCAACTCGGAAACGGCTAAAATAGGGGAAAACCTCGAGGTTTGCAGAACTGAAAATCACAGGGTACGTAGTGTTTGTAACACTGAATCGAATGGTCTTGGTCCGAAGAAGCTGCGGCAAACGGTTCCCCAATCGAACGCGCTCCGAATATAGCCATTTTGTACACATCTAGATGGTGTGGCTACCTGGCTGCACGCTGTGACGTCATCACCTGGATCTGGGTGATGCGCGCTCAAATTCGCAGATGTTCGATTGGGCGTATCTGACGAACCATAGGCCACAGCCTCCTCGGACAAAGGCCATTCGACTCAGCGCCCCGAACTCTATGGACTGTGACATTTAAGTTTTTCACCGGACTTCCCCTTTAAAAGACGGTCTATTACATGCAGAGCAAATGCGGCACTGTGAATGATTTCTCTAGTGTTACGATCAAGACTACGCAACTCCTCACGCAGGGTGTGCAGCTCCAGTGGTTTGATCAGGACTGGAGGAGCTCGGCGGCGGTGCCGTTTTCGCGATGCGGCTCAGCTCCGTGCGTGAATGCATTCGGTGCATTTCTTGCGACCGCCGGCTGCGCGAGGGTCGGCGACGTGCAGGGCCTTGATAAGCCCGCTGCGCATTTGCCCAATACGGAAGGTGCTGGTAACGTATGCGAGCACGCTGGGATCTGCAATGCGCTGGTCAACACCTCTCTCCCCAGACGACCGTACCCAGGTGGCTGTTTGGGGTGTCGACGGCACAAATTGCGTCCTGCGCGATGGGCTTATTCCGTGGTCGTGTGTCGGTTCACGAGCTCTGCCAAGCCAGGAATGCTTCGGAGTTGCGCAACTAGAGGGGGAGAGAGAGAGAGAGTGGGCGGGTCACGTGCTCACGGTACGCACCGCATCTCTCTGTGCTGCGTTGCTGGTGTGTCCGCGGAGGTCGCAGCAGTAAACGCTTGTGCTGCTCCTGCCATCAGATAAGAGTGTGTACTAGCATCCAGCGTGGTCTGTGAGTGGCCTCAGGCACGTACTGTATTTTACTGGCCATCAGTCGACCCCGGTTATAAGTCGACCCCGTTTATAAGTCGACCCCCGGCCCCGGTTATAAGTCGACCCCGGTTATAAGTCGACCCTGGTTATAAGTCGACCCCGGTTATAAGTCAACCCCCGATTATAAGTCGACCCCCGATTATAAGTCGACCCCGGTTATAAGTCGACCCCGGTTATAAGTCGACCCCCGATTATAAGTCGACCCCCGGTTATAAGTCGACCCTGGTTATAAGTCGATCCTGGTTATAAGTCAACCCCCGGTTACTGTAAAAGCAGAAATATTCGGTGGTGTAATTTTTCGGTATTCTCCAAAATCGGCGGTTCGGTGGAGGGAAATTTTCGGTATTCTCCAAAATCGGCGGTTCGGTGGAGGGAAATTTTCGGTATTCTCCAAAATCGGCGGTTCGGTGGAGGGAATTTTTCGGTATTCTCCAAAATCGGCGGTTCGGTGGAGGGAATTTTTCGGTATTCTCCAAAATCGGCGGTTCAGTGGAGGGAATTTTTCGGTATTCTCCAAAATCGGCGGTTCGGTGGAGGGAATTTTTCGGTATTCTCCAAAATCGGCGGTTCGGTGGAGGGAAATTTTCGGTATTCTCCAAAATCGGCGGTTCGGTGGAGGGAAATTTTCGGTATTCTCCAAAATCGGCGGTTCGGTGGAGGGAATTTTTCGGTATTCTCCAAAATCGGCGGTTCGGTGGAGGGAATTTTTCGGTATTCTCCAAAATCGGCGGTTCAGTGGAGGGAATTTTTCGGTATTCTCCAAAATCGGCGGTTCGGTGGAGGGAATTTTTCGGTATTCTCCAAAATCGGCGGTTCGGTGGAGGGAATTTTTCGGTATTCTCCAAAATCGGCGGTTCGGTGGAGGGAATTTTTCGGTATTCTCCAAAATCGGCGGTTCGGTGGAGGGAATTTTTCGGTATTCTCCAAAATCGGCGGTTCAGTGGAGGGAATTTTTCGGTATTCTCCAAAATCGGCGGTTCGGTGGAGGGAATTTTTCGGTATTCTCCAAAATCGGCGGTTCAGTGGAGGGAATTTTTCGGTATTCTCCAAAATCGGCGGTTCGGTGGAGGGAATTTTTCGGTAAACTCGTTTTCCAGGTACAGTACTGTAAGTGTACTTGTAGCGTAAAATCCCGCCAGAGCCTCTCCCATGCACCCCTCCCCGACTTCTTGGCAGGGAAGTGATTGATTGCATCCTCGTATGACTGTGTGATGCCGTACTGTACTGCAGACGCGTGCTCGAACCGGTTGGAAATGCAACAGTGCCCACCCTCTTGGCCAGGGGTCGCACAAACCCTGAGTTTTGACGGGTCTGTGCGACTCCCTGCACTTGACCTTTGGTCGGTGTACGAGATGCACGAACAGTTTTAGTAGGGCGAATACTGAATGCGCAAATAGGACTCGCCCACCCGCCCCTCCCCACCTGGACCTACCGGAAGGAAGGTATGGGCGCTCTGGCCAAGACAAGCACGAGCTGAAAGTTGGGTGCGCTCACCTTCCCTCCTTGTGTTATTTCTATAACTTAGAACCTTCCAAGCTGGAAGGGTGTTGGAGTGCGCATCCAAGACATGCTAGGGCTGATTGCCAGTTAGGTGTAGAACGTCAGTATCGTTGGTCAGTGTCGTGCAATGTTATCGCATGACCTGACTGTTTAGTACTGTAAAAGGGGTAACGTTTGCGACAATAAATGTTTGCGTTTTACAAATTGAGACTGGTTTGCGCTGTTCAATGTTTGCGAGTCGTTCTACACAGTCGAGTCGGTCCTTGCACTGAACTTTACATGGCGCGAGTTTGCGTCGTTCAAAGTTTGCGATTCGGGGCCTCTCGCTAAATTCGCAAACATTTTTTATGTCGCAATAGTTACCGGTTTTACAGTAACTAGTACTAAGAGTACATACCCCCTCCCCCCCCCCCCCCCCCCCCCCCCCAGAGTGTGCAACGCCTGATCCAGCTCTGCATAGGGTCTTGGTCGAGTGGAATCGGATCTTTGCGTCATAATACCGTACACATCTGAGGGGAACCCGGGGACTCGCGGGTACTCTCGGATCGAAAACAATGGTGCCCTGCCTCGAGACCGGCCTTGCGCTGGTGTGGAGTGTACGCATGCCATCAGAAGATCCGATTCCGCTCGACCATGACCCTTTGCAGAGCTGGATCGGCGTTGCACACTCTGGCGGGTTATGTACTCTTGCTTGTGGTGTTAGTGGATATTATAGCCTACTAGTAACTTGCAGCTCTTTGGTCCTCTTTACCACCTTTCTTGCATTTTGTTTTCGGTCATGAAGTGAAGTGTGGACTTGTAGCCGGAAACAACAGTACCTTACTGTGCGACTTGCACGAACATGCTTGGAAACGCCCGCTCTCTGCCGGCATTTGGCCCTATGTTTCACACTGCTTTGTCCTTGTCTGTTTCTCCTCACTCTGGTTTTTTACTGCAGCGGAAAAACGTCCGCAGAGCGCACTTTGCAGACAGCGATGAGGAGGCAGGGAGTGGTTCTGATAAACCGGACGAGAGTGATAACAATGAGGTGGATGAGAAGGAAGATATTGCTAACGAGCTTTTCGGCGATGACGATGATGAGGAGGAAGAGGATGAGGACGCAAGTCAAAAGGTAATGAATCTCAAAAGCACGGATCCGATAATCGGAGAATGGCCACTTCAAAGCTTTGAGTTGTGGACTCGGCTGCAGTGGCGGTGTGTGTGTGTGTGTTTGTGTGTGTGTCTGTGTGTCTGTGGGTGCACATCCAGTGCATTTGCAGATTTGCGTGCTTCTCTTGCGACGGGCGTATACATGGTGGTGGTGGTGGTGTGTGTGTGTGTGTGTGTGTGTGTGTCCAACCTGTCGGAAGGCTACCCTCTTGCCAAAGCATTTTTGGAAGTTGGACTAGTTTCGGCGCCACAATCTAGTGTGTCGTTACTATAATAGCTTTCATGGCTGAGGTTGTTGGTACGTCTGTTGGCCCTGGGTTCCCAGTACCCAGTTGGCGAGGCTGGTTGGTAAAATAACTCCAATTTCACTTCAAGGTACCAGTGCATCTAGTGTCTTCTTTTATCAAAGCAGCGTGCTGTCTATACTGGTTACCCCAGCAAGTGTAGGGTGTGCATAGGTAATTGTCTTGGCCGTCCTATTCCGATGTACTCCGTGTGGTGTAGACCAGGTGTGCATTGGGGGGTCGATTCACATGGCTTCGCCAGTTGTGTGAATTAATTCTTTGTGCCATCTTCAATAGGTCCGTCAAATACAGTAGTAGTAGGTTTTTCATTTTGACCCGACGAGACCATACGACGCTTGCAGATCACAGCACGAACAGTTCACCAGCCACACTCCACGAAGTGTGAATTAGACAGTTATCTGGCGCTTGTCTTGATCTGTTTCAATCAGAATCAGATCCGCTATCGTTGCTATAAAGAAAAAAATCTGTGGGTGCACATCCAGTGCATTTGCAGATTTGCGTGCTTCTCTTGCGACGGGCGTATACATGGTGTGTGTGTGTGTGAGAGAGAGAGAGAGTATGTGAGGGGGGGGTCTTC